TAAGGACTCAAGAAGGGGACAAGACCAATGTCAGTCATCACCATACTCTATTTCCTCAAAGATGTTAGCCATAAACTGTATACGCTGTAAACCAAAAGTCATACCTTCATAACTTCAAAGGAGAACTGTCCAAGAGGAATGCGTCTTCTTCAACTAACACTTGACGTATTTGAAGAATGAGTCTACTACCATTTAGACGATTGTGCTACCACACACATCAGCCATTCACTTAGAAAACGAAAGCATACAGCTCGCTAGATCTCACATGAATTAGCAACAGAGATCCATAAAATCTTAGCATCAAGAGAAATCTTTATCCAGTCCATTACGAACGTCTGAATTCCTGGCTTTCAGCCGTGAACCATACAGATGAAAACGAAACTTAAAATCAGACAAAGAAATATTTATGTAGACTGAATTTCATAGTTATATTTAGAACATCCCATGTAGAAGTGGTAAGGATTACAATGAAATCATGTTAAAGGATAAAAAGCTCTCGACCTTGATCAATCCCTGAGGGATGCGCCATGATTTCGACTTCATTAAGCATCGTTAGGGGTGACTGAATACATATCTGACCTCTACAATGACTCGCTGTGGTCTACCGATGTATCGAGCCAGTGGGGCTATCATCCTATATAAGTCTAGTACCAACATTCCAACTCCGGAGGAATGGAGGGCTTGGTGGTCAGGAACGCTCGAATCGATCCCAGTGTATTGCAGGGTGCCTCCAACCACTGTGCCACACGCGCCCGTACAAGGAAATCATGTTAACTCACTAAAACTAAGCAGCATTAAATTCCAAAACATTTGAAAAAAAAATCAAAAAACTTTTGAAAACAAGGACCAACTTCCCACAGCGTTTTCCAAATGGTAGAGAAACTTGAGTAAATTTTCACAATTACATAGACAAGCTGTTAATGTGCCAAGATTTAGTTCAGATGACAATATTTGTATATTTTTATTTACGATAAAATAGTCCATCCTCACTGTTTTTGCCCCATTACAAAACTAAAGTGGTCTCGCCTACAATAAAGAAAGTTGCCTAAGAAAAAACCTTACATGTTCGATCTCGTCTATTCTTCTCTGGTTCCTTCTATACACTTCAATACGAAGCTTGATCATCCACAATAAACCAGCCACAACAAGAAGGACTATGAAGCAGCTAAAGTAAATTTCAGTATTGAAATAAATGCAAAAATATTAAAGTATATAAAGCCTTAGGACCTACGCTGCAAATATCACAAAGAATAAAACCCAGTTGATTGGGGGAGACTGAGCGAATGATACTTGGATTGTAATTGGAGTTGTAAAGTTAAACACTCGAACCTAAAACTTGAATAACAACTTTACTGCCAACAACGGAAGAAACGTCAAAAAATTACCGAATGGTTTTGGTGCCCTAACCAGTATTTTAACTTTCATTTTCATAAGACGTAACAACAAAAAGTTCTTTGATCCGACTGATAATAAGACAAGTATAATTCCAAGCGCTGTAAGTCCATGAAAGCTAACCGATAGACTTACAAAGAATGTAGTGTTGGTATCCGTCCCATATGCGTAATCAGGATCCGAGGCTACATAAACTCTTCGAAATCCCTTGGAATCACAAGTTGTATTGAGCTATAATTTCTTTATTTAAAACATCAAATCGAGAAGAGGTACACAACAAATATTCTTCCGACTCAGAAAACAAAAAAAAATAGGAATTGAAATTTCTTTTGTTGGGTTGTGATAAAATGTAACAATGGCTAAATTCAGGAAAAAAATACGAACACACCATCATTCGCCTTGGCGTTGATTCAAATAACGAAGATGTGATATTAAGAGCAACGTTGGCTTGCGACCCTCCATCACAGCTTATTTGGAAAGTCACATCTGTGTCCTTCTAAAAACTATGTGTACACTACATAAATATAAGCCACACTAATATAATTTTTCTCCTCCCAACGTTTTACCGCTTCATCGTCGGTGGGACGTGTTCCTGGGTGTCGCTCTGTGATGTACAGTGTGGTGAATTATAACCTGGCAGGGTCTCCCAAGCTGAGAAGGAGTCCAATGATTCCATCAGGAAGCCCATCTAAGAGTAAACCAATACCAGGATCTGCTAACTATTCGCATGGTGGTACATCTCCCACTGATCCATAAGAGCGGCCACCGTCTGTGGTGGTGACGACCTGGGCCAATGTCCATAATCATTATGCTTTCATGTGATTTCTGTGCGGTTGGTCTCTACGTGACATACTTATTGGAAGCCTTATAGAAAGCAGCTCTGAGGAAGGCTAAATCCGCCGAAATGTCAGCTTATTCGTGAATAAAAGAATAATAACACCTCGCGTTTGCTCAACAAAAATACGAAGAATTACCAGTCCTGCTATTTCAAAACTGACATCCTGTTCTTAAAAAAAAGCTTCATACCCTATCTTCGCTTTTGATGTTCTTGGGGATCGGACCGGATATATAGTGGGGGTTCAGCCACCTAGTTCTCTCCTAAGCTTAGGAGTACAACGTTTTCATCCAGAAGCCCAGATAATAGTAAAGCAATACCAAGGATGACCAACGTTCTGCTGTTAAACTAGTGGCATGGTGGCAAATCTTCTGATCCGCAAAGGCGGCTACTTCCTGGGGTAGACTAACCTCGAGATTTCCGTGAACAACATCAGTTATACCAGCAAAACATCATTCTCAGTACGCCGCATCGGGTGGTGAGATAACCGGTGAGAGGTCATCAAATCACGGATTGCAGAGGACGCCACTGAAAACGGACAAAACGAACACCCACACGACATGTCGTGGAAACTCCTTCTTGCCCTACACCCATGAAAATAAAACAGTCTTTTAAGACAGCGACGTTCATGCTCTTGTTGAGGCCGCACGTCGTATCAAATTCCACGTGATCGACCTAAAACAGGCAAAAAGCAGGAGCATCGTCATGAGCCAATTAGATGAGGGTACCCAAATCAGTGATGGAGGAAAATTTCAACTACAAAAGGTCGGAGGTGTTGGTTTTCTCGTGTACCCATCCATTTCCCATCCAGTCCCCTTATTCGAAACCTTATCACGGCGCATGGCCATTCATCGTCTCCAATATCCGCATCAAAAGAAAATCACTATCACCAACTGTTGCTTACCAAGTTTTACAGCTGATGAGGGCGAAATGAACGCGCTCTACTACCAGTTGGAGGAAGTGATCCGCAACGAGAAGCGTTTCTGTAAATGTTTTCTTGGAGACTCTAATGCCAGCTTAGGAATGGTCAACGAAAATGAATACAGGATAGGGAAATTCGGAATAGGAGAACGAAATGAGGATGGGAATCACTTCGTAGGATTCCTGTCAGCAGCATGTCTCTGCACTGGAAATTCATTTTTCAAGAAGAGAGATAAATCGCCGATGGACATAGGAGCCTTCTAACGGCACGATTCACGCTGAAATCGAGCATATTCTCACGAACAGAAAACGGTACCTTTTTGACATCTCAGCGGTACCATGATTCTCAACAAAAACCCTATCCTCATATGACTGCCAGATAAAACAAGCGACAACCAATGACCATGAGCTTCTTGTCGAAGAACTGAACGTTTGTGTCCAATTGACCTCAGTTCCTCAAAGAAAAAGTTGAGACCGCATCTACACTACCACTAAACAGTTACTCGAAAAGAGAACGACACTGAAGCTTCATCCTACTGTCACACATCTAACGCGGCTGATAATAAATATCATCTGTAGAAGACCTCTCCATGAGGATTTACAACGGTATAGGCAGAAAAGGTTATTGGAAGCAGCTCAAAAACAATCTAAACTGAAAAAATTCCGTAGGGATCTTTGTAACATTAATGTTTCGCTATCCGTTGTAATGAATGAAGATAGGACTATCACGTCCCACCGCCATAATATGGAATTGAAACAGGAAAGTTCAATAGCAATCTTTTCCGCTCCATGACCCCGTTTCAAACCCCAAAGTCCGTGCTGGTGAAAAACAACTCGAGATAGCACCCTCTGACAATCGAGCTGCGATGAAAAGCATGAAAGCAGGTACAGCGCCAGGAGTCGATGACATCACCATCGAATTCTTTACAGCTGGAGCCCAAAACTACATTCACTTCTCGTAACACACATAACATCTTATCTTCAGGAAGAGAAAATCTCAGGGCAGAGGACGTCGCGCACGGCTATCCCACCCAAGAAAGGTAACCGAGAGAATCTTCGTAATTACCCACTAATATGCTTTTGAGTGGAGTCTACATGCTGTTCATGCAGATTATGCTGTAGTGCATATCAAGGACTTTGGATGGGGCACAATTAGGTGGATTCCGACAGGGACTTGCTTTGTAAACCACATCCAAACCGTGTAACGGGTCATAGAACACTGTCTGAAGTACCATCTGACCTTTGTCCAAACCTTTATCAACTAAGAGAAAGCGTTTGACAACGTCGAAACAAATGCAATCCTAGCAGGTCACGTTGACCAAGGAGTGGACACGTCCTAAATATGAACGATTACTCAGTGTTTTCGGAACTGCAGCACAAATGTACACCTTTTCCATCCAACCCTAACTATAGGCCTAGCAAAAGAGGTTCGACAAGCCGATACAATATCGCCAAAGCTGTTTAGTGCCGCACTGCAGTGGATAATGAATTCAATCGATTGCGACGAGAAGGGCATTGGCGTTGATGAAAAAATCCTATGAAATCTTTTTGCTGACATCATCATCTATTCGAGAAGCACTAGCGAAGTAGAGACGATGATCTGCGAGCTCAACGAAGTAGAAAAGAATAGGACTATGCATAGATCGGAAGAAGACCCAGTTCATGAAGAATCCATGGTGCGAAGGTGAACAAATCGAACTGTGTGGTTTTCTGATTACAGCGATCACCTCGTACGCCTATTTTCCAAGAGAAGTCCACGGAGTCCAAGAGAACACAAGTGTCCTCTTGCAAGACCACTCAAATGATAGGACGTCTTCGTGGCTAACGTCGACCACCTGCATTCGCAGAAGAATTAGGACTTTAGGAACAGACATTGCTCACCAAAAAATATGAATACACGTCGCTCATCATTTGTTCTGCAAATACAAACAGAAACAGATGGTCCATTCTAAAAAACTGTTATCGAAGATCCAATAAGCACAAAAGATTGAACTGTTTGACCACTCCTCCTGTACTAGTACTAAGCACACATTTGTAGGTGGTCAAAAGTCTACACAAAAGTTAGAAACATTCTACAATCTTTTTGTGTAGTAGCACTAGTGTATACTTGCAAAACTACCGCCTACGAGACAGTCACGATCCGTACAGCAACTTTTTTACACTCCAAACCGATCATCTACTCGTGAAGTCATTCGTGTTCTGCTGCTTGATTCTAACCGCTTACTTCTTATTTGAATACCAGAACTCGATTAACGCCAGCTTAATTCACAGTACTGAACCAATGATGCACTGAAATTTAGTCTTTAACACTCTTGTTCGGACCAATGTCATGGACTCATTTAAAAAGACATTCCAAAATCTATTGTAGCACAGTAACGCTATATTTTCACCTCAAGAGGCCGGTCTATAACATAGTCTACTTCCATGGATAATACTTATATATCCAAATTCTCTCAAATAGCCGAAGCAGCAACATATACCGGCCAATAGCAGATCATCATGAAATTAAACGGCTTTAATAATTCAAGGAAATCCAACCGTTCCATCTATAGGCGTACGAGGCATATTCCTATCGTATGATTCGATACCTCAACACTTCAACACAAACCTTCCATTGCCAACAAGCACAATAATCGAGTATCGTGACCTAAACCCGCAAACGACAGTCTGACTAAGCATCCATTCATTCCTTGATTATTCAATTTACACGACATCCTACGATAGCTCTCTACATTTCCAAACACATCGATAACTTTATGGCCGCGTGTAGTGCAGTGGGTACAGGCGCCCTGCAATACACATGAGTTTGATCCCGCTCACCAGGATCACCAAGCCTTCCACCCAACAGGGGTCGGCAGATTGGTGCCGGATCTGTCTGGGACGATAGCAGCACCGACTCCACATGACGGTAGGTCACCGCGAGCCATTTTATAGGCCAGATATGCATTCATTCACCTCCAAACGATGCTTAATGAAGCTGACAGCATGGCACATCCCTCAGGGATTGACCAACGCCGAGTGCCTTATCCCTTACTTTTTTACCAATAACTTTACAGTGTGCCTCCAAAGTGCATGAAAAAATTAGCAACTGCTATATCAGTGAGCCATGAATCTTCGCCACTGATACCATCCTGCCGATTAACACTCAGGCGACAAGGTGCTCCTGCAGGTGGTGGACAGAGAGTTAGAAGCGAATCAAAAGAGACCATATGCTTCTTCAAGACGAAGGTGGGTCCAAGAGATGAAAACGTTGTTTACCCAGCGCCAATTTGGCATGTACCAGCTGCAGCTAGGTAGAAAAGTCCATTCATGGGTGAGCGAATGTGCTCATATACATGAAGGTTAATGAAGATTGTGTCTGAGTCGATTCTGTCGAAAAGCCTGCAATCACGTGACTGGGAGGTATATAGAAAACGGTTAGGAGTCGCCTCCAATAACTAACTTCAAACGACCACTCTGGGACAGACTGGCGAGTTATCCATGAGTATACCCAGTCGTCGCGTTCAGAACTCAGGACCCTATACGTGGCCATCAAACGCTAGTCACAGTAATTTGAACGAGCTTCATTCTCTTGACCCCGAAAGAGCTCCTGATAAGGCAGCGTTAGATAAGACAACCATGGAAAAGTTCCTAAATGTTAGAGCAATTCTAGGTTACCTAAATCTCGAAGGACTAAGGCGACAATTTGTCCCTACAGTGCATGTTCATTTGCATCTAGTCCTCCACAGAGGAACCAAGACCATGCAGACAGGAAGGATACGACTCGACCTCATCGGATTGGCCGAGTTGAGAAGACGTCAATCATTCAACATATCGCATATTCAATAAGATATCAGAGAAGAGATGTTCCTCGAAACACACGACATTAGAGGAGACGGAGACGTCGGCGTTCTCGTCAGAACGACCTTGGCCATGAACATCAATTCATTCTAACAACTAACAACTTGAATTGGAAGTTTATGGTTGAAGAGATGTGGATCAATATGGGTTTCGACGCTTGTCATCTATGTATCAACATCAAGCGCTCTACATGGACTTGGAAAAGTTCTGCAGTGAAAACCATTCATTCTTCCAGGTCATCACTAGAGTTCTTAAAGCTAAGATAAGATCCAGAAGCACGCATGAAGAACGTCACAGTGACACCCGTGGTTCAAAATGGAATAAGCAGGTTGAGCGGCTGTCTAAGTTCACCGTGACGACGAAGAATATTGATGGTGGCATATACTTCAAGAATCCCCACTCACAACGTTGGACGTGGGGGTTTCGCAATGGAGAGTACTATAAAGAAATAGACCACCTCGTAGTAAATCTAAAGATCTGCCTAACCGATGCCGCTGTCGTCCTAAAATTCTACAAGGAATCAAACCACTGCCTCCTTATTGCAAGATTTCCTTTCTCGCGGAAAGGATAAAAAACAACTAAATTCAAGAAGCCCTAATCCATCACAAACCGAGATTTATACAGTTCAGTAGTTGGCTGTAGGCTAAACGCCGTTCTTGATAAAAAATGAAGCACCTCACATGAACTATGCTTTTCAAGAGAACGAAACACGCTGGGCGACTTCGCGCACGAGAAGTACGGTACGAATGGAGACTTCACTGCGGACAGGTCGAGTCTTCCGAACGTTAACGGGACCAGATATAGTACAAGTGATAATACCTACATAGTGAAGGTTACATCAATGTCCAGTCACCTGTACACTGTTGTTTTCAAGCATACAAATTTACAGCTGCATGAAGACGTGATCTTTTTTATTTATTCTCAGTTGATCATCACCTCTAGCAAATAAAATGCAGCATTAAAATGATTACAGCAGCACATGAATAATCTGACAGCATCCAAGAACGGTGATAAATTTTATGTAACAAAACTCACCTTATGCGGAATGCTGAACAAGTAGATTTCCGTCGCATGTTTATCTTTTTCCTCGTTTTTTAATTTGAACGTGAAAATGAAGTCGACACTGAGTTCATCTAAAAGCGATACCTAATGTAACTCACATGAAACAAAATGAATGTAAATGAGAAGAAAACACCCACAGTAACAAGGAGTGCCATTCTTTGGCTGCCCATAGTATTTCTGGTCACAACGATCACAGTTGGCTCCAATAACACCTTTAGTTCTGCAATGGCAAACACCCGTAATGTTATCACATGTGTCCGACTGCCCATTGCATTGACAAGCTATAAATAGCCCTCCTTCGTTATTAAACTGTAATATGCGAATTAATTTGATTGCAAACCTGTACAATGATCACCATTCCGAGGATCACCAAAGTAACCTGGAGCGCAAATCTCACAATGTCTGCCCATTGTATTATGTTGACAATCACCACAAACTTCCTGTATGCCGCCAACAGTATGCCGAGTTTCGTTACACATAGAATGACCGTTGCACTGGCACGCTAGAAAATAATGTGCTATACATTAGGAACCTCTCTCAAAAAATGGCAATCAGGTAACAGTGATCATGCAAAACAAACAGTTTTAACCTTCAATTACAGCCTATTCTTTTTGCAAGGCATTAGATGAAATACAACCATCATGATCTTGAGATATGAGCAAAACTCGGAGTCTCAGTTACGCTTCGAAGGCGCGGTTACCCTTTCCGGGGTTTACATGTTATCCAATGCACCGACATAGGTCCCTGTTTTGCCTCACTTAGCCAGTTTTTTACCCTAACGGTGCCATCAGCAATCAACGGGAATAACCTAAGTAAAGTGAAACTGCAGTCAAAATCACAATCCTTAGCCAGTTTCGTGAAAGAAAATTTAGTTCGAAACTCACAGTAGCGCCGCAAAAATGTGGTATGCGACAGGTTCGAGAAATAACAAGATCAGAAACTATTTGACTACCAATTAGTGATAAAAGTGGAAAGACGTAGCAATTTATCAGGTTTAAAACCATTAGTTATTTTGCAACTTAAAATGGAATCACCAACATGTCAGGTCTTGAACTTGTATACTAAAATACATATGTTAGCATCCACATCTTCTGTTTACCGTCCACTCAATGTTCAAGGTTAGATCCATCACCAGGTGTGCAGATGGGCCCATGGAAAAAATAGCTTGGTTTAAAAACGTAATTCACATTCAGGTGCTGAAACACATCCAGTTTGCCGCCCTTTATAATAAAGTGCCAAATAATTCCGCAGTGCAAGCCATCCGCAAGCTCCTTATGCAATACAAAGGAGCAATAAATGAGATCCTTACGCAGTTCGAAGGAGCAATAAAGGAATAAAGGGATGAAGCGGCGAAACATGCATGGTCTCTCGATTAAGTAGCTCACGGCCCTCTTGAAGGAGTGTCTAAACTGCTCAATCGTCAGGTGAACTGGAAAATACAACGAACAAATAGGATCGCTGGCAATGGGACAGCGTCTGACACCAATCCTTACCAATGTTCACATCTAAAGTAGAAGCCTCCGTACTCGGTCTCCAGCCATTACTCTACTGAGATATATAGATGATTGTTTTGTCATTTGCTCCACATAAGAGATGGGTAAATGTTCAACGATCTGTCAGAGCTAGCTTCCATTTCTGAACGTTCAAATTAGTCTATGAGAAAACTGCTGATCACCAAGTGATACTGAAAGCCAAGTAATAAAAATATACTAGGTCATCACCTCTCCTCTCACCACTCCCTAACACATAAAAAGTGGGCCTGTGAAAAACATATTCCAAACGTCCATCAGTGTGTTATCAGCGTGCGCACAGGAAGAGAGGAGAACAAAGAAACTCTGGATTTGACACAAAAATATCCACTTCCAATGGCTACGAAAAGGTAGCTATTCGGGATAGATTTAGAGTGAAAACCACCATGCTTCAAAGCAACAACTCTGTTGAAAATGGGGTCCCGTTCATCCTAACCTTCGTTCCTTACTAAATATACACTGCTTTCGAAGATGAGCAAACATACAGTGGTTATTAAAGCATTCATTAATACATAGAAGCTGATGTTTCGGAGGTTTCGACTTTTTTAAAGCCTGGAACGGCCATCTGCAACCAATTCAGGCAAATACTTTCACAACCTCAGCAGACTGAACTTAACACTTAAATGCTTATTCGAATAGTGAACAGCTTCTCACAAATACTCACCCGTTTTGTATGTTGCAAGCATTCCAGTTATTTGGTGGACGCCGATGCTCGGAGTACTCCATATCACGCAAGTGATGGAAGGGATCCGAAGCTCCCACCTACGTCAATGATCAAAAATTAAATACGCCGTTCGATATGCCAAACTGTCGAACATAATGTGGGCCGGAAACGCAGTGCGTATGGACTACAACCGGTGGTACAAGAGCCGTTAGTGACTGGATTCCTGAGGATGTCAAACGTACTGCAGTAAGACTACTGCCCCGATGGTCAGTTCTTCAAGAAAGTCCTGAAAGAAAGATATGATGCCCAGCAAGTCCCTAGAGCGAGCACAACTCACTGGACTATTCTTGCAAGCAACAGGGAGAAGTGGAAGATTTACCCACGCCCGCTCGTGCCATTTGACGATGGCTGTTATAGGAGACAAGTCTGTCAATAAAAAAAATAGGCGGTAGATAAAAGTCAAAAGATTGTTATTTCGATTACAGATCCAACGCAACTGTGTCCAGCGCAACTGTATTCAATGATGACTTGGGCTCTCCAGATGATTCCCGTTGGCGGGTGATTGCTGATAGTAGTTAGAATTTTAAAAAATGGCCAAAAGAAGGAAACGCACGGGCCTCGATTGGTGCCGTAGACAACATGTGACTCCTCTGAAAGGGTAATTGCTGGTTCGTAGTGCATGCAAGACTCCGAATTATTGTTCATGTCTCAGCATCACTGTGTGGTTACAAGAACATAATTTGACTATGTTTCCTTAGTGTTTTAACTCTTCCTTTATACTTTGTTTTTTCCTCAATGTTATTTTACGTGTGGGAGATTACCGTGCAATAAATTACGATGTAAAGTTGTGGTTTCCTCCGAAGGAATATTCAATCAAATAGTTTGATACGTTTATTGAACTAAAAGAAGTCAAGGAGAACTGCTGTCTTCCAACTAGAAACTTAAACGCCAATACGAAAAAACAATTTCAAAGATTTTATCCTGCACTCATCTCGTGTCTTTCACGCCGAATCTTACCAGATGTTATCAGTTCCGATGGTCATTTCCTTTGCATCCAACTTCTGCGTAAAAAGATGACCACCAGTAATTCTCACTCATTCATCAGAGAAAATTGTAATTAATTGAGTTAATTATAAACAGACCACCAAACTTTGCTGAATAGAGCTGCTTTTATGCAAGAACCACAAATTGCACCTATCCAGTATCACAGCAAAAATTTGTTAGTTCATTATTTATCAACGAAACCAAGGTTTAAGTAGTACATAACCCCAGAAATCAAGCTCAATATCACGACTGGCAAAGAGATCACGGGAAATTGGGTCAAAATATTAAGGTTGGAATAAGCTTCCAAATTCTGAATCAGAATGCTTTCAGCACCTGTGTCCTAACATCGAGAATACTTACCTATAGAATAGAATCTACCTAAGCACCTGGTATATAGAAAATAAATATTAGGTTGGACGTAATGGATGGAGTCAAAATAGATTACATTCCTTGCTAAGTGTCATACATAATTAAAACTGAAGCGTATTTTCCTCAAAACCTCCAAGAAAAGAAAAAAAAACGCTCAGCATAATTAAGACAGAGCTTTCACCAATACAATATAGCCATTTAAGTGGATCTGTAAAATTTTTATAGAGAACACCAAACATTTAACGAAGATGTCATTATTAATTTTAACGGCAAAAATCAACCAAGAAAGAAATCTTCGACTTTGTATAAAGATCCAAAGATTTGGAGCAATGTGCCAGATTGTTCGGATTAATGATATCAACTGATGCCAGTGAAAAAGAACAACATGAAACCACAAATCTACCCACCACCAGTACCACGTACGACACTTCTCTTGAACTATTACACATTCATTTTTCTTTTTGGATAACTTCCTGTTTGTTATAATGCCTGATAGCCTGCGCAATGTCAGCTGAAGAACATGTAAAAGCAGAACAACTAACCTGGGCAGTCGATAAAATACCATTGTTCAGAATGGAAGTCTTTGATAGGTTCAAGTGGACCACGTGAAGAGCCAGGAATACAGGTTCCAAGTCCTGTTCGAGACCCGTCATCGAGCCATCCACATTCAGGTGACAACTGACACTCGGCACAAGTCTTGTGTGCAGAACAGTTTGAAGATTCTGTGCAGGTACAGATCATTCCATGCCTCTTTGCAGCAAGACATAGCACTTCATTTATTAATATGTTAAGCATAAATCTTTTCACTACGAAACACACAACAAAAAAACTGCGCAGCTTAGGAAACAAAGTGTTGACCACGAACAATAAAAAGGAAGCTACTTTCCAGTAGTGTAGAAGAAAAACTGTCTCCTCATATGATCGCTCTTTCTAACATCACCACCACAAAAACACGTTTAGAAAAATTTTAACCATCTTTGTTTAATCATAAGCGATATTATCGCCAATAAACCTAAAGTGAATTGTGAAAAATAAACAAACCAATTCTGCATGATTTTGAAATCGAGAAGCTATGTGCATGACCGGCGACCCACGAATGGCATTGACCATATGCAAACGAAAGGGTGTATGCTTCCATGTTAATACATCTGGAAATGAAACAATCTTTCCACATGCAGCATATTCCAAAAATAACTTCCGCTTAACTTTGGCAATGGTCGATAATTCACCGTTTTCCTTGATGAGGAAGGACGACATTTTCATAACAGCATTTATCAAAACACAATAGCTGACGAGTCGACGGTTTTGTCTTCTCCAGTGGATGGAGGATAGACACAATTCAGTCATTTAAACACTATCATAACCTCAGCAGACAACACAATACATAAAGTATTCGCACTGTGAACAGCTTCTCCCAAACACTCACCGTTTTTTTGTTCCTAAGTCCTCCGGTTATTATTGGAGATCAGCCGCATGAAGTCTCACATGGGTGGGAAGTATACGTGTCTCAGAGCAAAAAATCGATTTGAAATATGGCACGAGCTCACACGTGATTGCAATGCACTCCTCCTTGCTGTTCAGTTTTTGAATTTCCACTGGATTGTGTACTCCATCCCAAAAATTTCCCAAAACAAGTTTCAAAAATCCAAAAATGAACAGCAAAGAGGAGTGCCTCGTGATCAAGTGTGGTCTCGCGCAATATCTCAGATCGACTTTTTGATCTGAGCTATGCAGATTTCTCACCCATGCTCGACCATGTGCGGCTGGTCTTCAATAGTAACCGGACGACTTAGGAACAACAAAACGGTGAGTGTTTGAGAAAAGCCGTTCACTATGCGAACAATCATTTATTCATTGTTTTGTCTGCTGAAGTGATGATAGTGTTTAATTGACTGGATTGCGTTTCTATTTGTTTCTTCCAGACAATGAAGAAGGCAGAACCGCCGAAACTTCAGCCATTTTGAATTAAATGTTTGTATTAAATGTTGTAACAACAATCTCATGTTTGTTCACTAAGGAAAGCAGTGAATCTTCCTACATTCTACAAGGCAAAATTAAAACGGTATAATGGTGGTGAATGGATAACCATAATGGAGCAATAAACACTTGTACCCGACACCTAAGTTCCTGTGAACGAAACATCTGTTTTACGTCCAGATTTTTGACGCATTTGATACGACTTGGTATCAACTCTTGCCGTCCCAGTTGCCCCATTAGTAAGTGGCTCTGCTTCCATCGTTCTATTTCCGCTTTATAAGTCAATTTGTGGATGTATTTTGTCAGCACTTTCCGTGGTTTTCATTTGCGGAGTTTTTTCAAATAAATGAGAATGGAAAAACGTAGGTATATAACGAGAATAGCGCAATTAAGGAGTTCATAGATGTATAGTTCATAGATGCATTATATACGAGTTCATAGATGATTTTTTTTTTACAAAAAAGAAGACATGTGTACACCGATAACTACTGTACAAGTGTTTCCCTTAAACACTCTCTACAGACGCTGACCTTCACGCCCTTCCTGAAGCCAAAAATCGCGTAAAATTTGGAGTGATCGCACTGCAAGAAACAAAAATCATGAACGCCCACGCACGCCAACTAAAGAATGGGACCCTTGTCATCTGCGGAGAAAAATTCTCATTACGAAATGTCGATGGCGTACGCTTTGTCGTCTACTCCTCCATTTTTCATCTCGTCGACTTGAGCGAGATCCTCTATCTCGCATGGCCGTCCTTTATCTTCAACAAATGGATCGTACGAAGATCACTATCATCAATCACTACTCATAGACCGAGGCAGTCGATGAGCACGAATTGGAGGCGTTCTACCATCAGTTGGAGGAACTTTATCTGCAATGATAAACCGTATTATAAATTTGTTGTCGGAGAGCTCAACGCCAGAATAGGAAAGGCCAATGAGAGCGAATACAGGATCGGAAGTTTTGGATTAGGAGAAAGAAATGAGGATGGAAACCGTCTCGCAGGACTCCTGTTTGTAGCGCGTCTTCCATGAAAACTTGTTTTTCCAGAAGAATGAAAGCACCCGCTGAACATGGAAGCCCCTAACGGCATGACTCATGCGGAGATCGACCACATTTTGACAAATAGAAAATAATGCCTACTTGACAAATCGGTAGTCCCGTCATTCAGTACTGGTTCGGACCACTACCTTCTTCGCGGGGAGATTCGATACAGCCGTAAGCCAGAAAACAATTCACTGCATTAACCACGGGGAAAAAGTTTAGCTGTGTACGACGAGAACATTCAGAACGAAGTCCTATCCAAGAGTGGAGGATTAAAGAAGACCCGACCAAAGACTACGAGCTGTTTGTCAAACGACTTAAAAGTTGTGCCGAATTCGCCTCAGTTCCTCGAGCAAGATCAGATCGCATCACAATTACTTCACGGAGCTGCTCGAGAAAAGAAGGAAACCGAAGCTTGGTCTCACATCGATAGTGGAATATAGAGCGACCGGTTATATAACGGATTATTCATGTGCTGCTGTAATCATTTTAATGCTGCATTTTATTTGCTAGAGATGATGATCAACTGAGAATAAATAAAAAAGATCACGTCTTCATGCAGCTGTAAATTTGTATGCTTGAAAACAACAGTGTACAGGTGACTGGACATTGATATAGCCTTCACTATGTAGGCATTATCACTTGTACTATACTTGGTCCCGTTAACCTCCGAAAGACTCGACCTGTCCGCAGTAAACTCTCCATTCGTTCCAAACTTCCTATTCATCGAAGTCGCCCAGAATGTTTCGTTCTCTCGAAAAACATAGCTCATATTACTCCCGTTTCAAACCCCAAAATCCGCGGTAGTGAAAAATAACCCGCGATTACACTCTCTGAAGGTCGACTTGCGATGAAAAGCATGAAGACAGGCACAGCTCCAGGAGCCGATAATATCACCGCCGATTTCTTTAGAAATGGAGGCCACAAATTACATATACTTCTCGCAACACACATGACATCTTACCTTCAGAAAGAGAAAATCCCAGGCCAGATCAGCACATCGCGTACTGCCATCCCATCCAAGAAAAGTGACCGATTTGATGCTCGTAACTACACGCCAATATGTTTTTTGGGTGGAGTTTACACGCTACTCATGTAGATTATGCTGTAGTGCATATCAAGGACATTGGATGGAGCACAATGAGGTGGATTCTGACAAGGATTTTCTTCATGAACCCCATCGAAACCGTGTGACAGGTCATAGAACACTGTCTGAAGTATCACCTAACTTTTGTCCTAACCTTTATCAACTACGAGAAAGCGTTTGACGTCGAAACGAGTGGAATCCTAAGAGCGCACGTTGACCAAGGAGTGGACACGTCCTAAATGTAAACGATAACCGAGTGTTTTTGGAAGTGCATCACAAATGTTCAGCTTTTTCACCCAATCCTCACCATACCGATAAGAAAAGGGGTTAGACAAGCCGAAACAATATCGCCAAAGCTGTTTACTACCTTACTGCAGTGGATAACGAAGTTATTCGATTGGGATGAGAAAGGCATATGTACTGATGGAAAATTCTTACCAAACTCTCGATTCGCTGACGACATCGTCATCTTCTTAAGAAGTACCAAAGAAGAAGAGACGATGATCAATAAGTTCAAAGAAGCAAGAAAAAGAAAGATTAGACTCTGCACAAATCGTAAGAAGACCCAGTTCATGAAAAACCCACGATGCGAAGGCTATCAGACTAAACTGGATAGTTCTCTGATTGCAAAGGCTACCTCGTACATATACCTTGAGCGATCAATGAACATGGAAAATAACACGAAGGAGGAATTTGGCAGAAGGAGAGCACCTTGGGCCGCATTCGGACCCCTCAAGGAAACCATCAACCAACTGAAGGAGCCGAAAATTCTCACCAAACTTTTCGAATCAACTGTGCTCCCACCGTTGTTGTGCTGCAAGAACGTCGGCTGATACTTCAAACACGTCAAGAATACTGTGCACCACTCATGGAGGGCTTGAACGATGTCTTCTGAAGCATATCGGCGCTCTCAATATCTGGCCGGAAAGCAGAGCTCTGATCATCGAAGTCTGTCACATCTTTGGGATCTAGGAGAATCTACATCGATAGCGAAACACAGATGGGTCTGTTATATAATGAGAAGAACAGAGGACAGATAGACGAAAAGAACTGTGGGGTGGAAATTACGAGGATGCAGACGTCCTCAAGGACGACCACCTACACCTTGGGCGGACGTGCTCGTAACTAAAGTCAATCAGCTTTACTAGTAGCTGCAATTATTTTTCGGGATCACGGTGTGAGACTCACACGCGCCATCATGCCCGAATAAAACCATCGCTATCGACGACTGCTAGGGAAAAAACGAATGGGGAATGTGCTGGGGTCCACACAACTCGTGAAGACAGACCGTCCAAGTATCCAAGTAAGTAAGTATGTGTATGTGAAAACACATAGCTGAACTACTAGCCATTTTAAGGACAGACAGTTCTTTGTAACACCGAGTATACATCTTCATTACAATTCACTTATGCAAACCTTTTCAACGAATTAGCAGCTAATGGCGGCGAAAATATGTTCTTAAGTGCCGAAAGTTCTGAAATACAGCTGAGAAATTTCTGTGCACTCCTGAACAACAACGGTATCCTGAAACCCGCATTTTTTTTACAAGCAATGGTCTCCCACTTTTTGCATATTATTAAGTATACAAGTAGCTTTTCAGATCTGACGCCCATTACAAGAAGTTCAATTGGAT